AGGTCAATGAGTCTTAAAGTAGAATTTCTCAATAACAGATAATGCAAATTGTTTATTGTGAAACAATAACTATTAAACAATCATTAATAATTTCATTCTTTCCAAAGTTACGGTATATCTTTAATTGAATTTAAATTGCAGAATTAAATTAAAGATTTCCACCGAGAAATTTTGTATTCAATCGTCATTTGATTCACTACAAATAATTACATGAACCTTAAAGAGGAATTTCTCAATAACAGATAATGCAAATTGTTTATTGTGAAACAATATTAAAAACATTTTCATTGATAATTTCATTGATAATTTCATTGATAATTTCATTGATAATATTGATAATTTAATTTAGCACTTAATTAAATTTAAATTGCCGAATTAAATTAAAGATTTCCATCACTAGCATCGTAATACAAGTAGAATAGTGACGTAAAACAAGTAGAATAGTAACGTAAATAAAACAATCTATTTAATATAAAAATAGATCAAATTTGAACATATTTGAAAATCAAATTTATTTCCACCCTTGTAATAATATAATACAGGGCCTAATTTTTTATTTGGATTTACTTAATTATATTTATTGATGTTATTTCAAATAAAAAAATTATTGATATATTTTTTTGAATAAAATTTATAATTATATATTCAATAATATATGATAATAAAAAAATTTCGGCATTATCAGAACGATAGTTGTCATTGATTTATCGCTTTTTAGTAAAATGATAGTCATGTTTCGCATGATTCGAGAACGGATGCACAAGTTAATTGAGGAAATTTCATTCAAAATAATGTCGAGCTGAGCTGGATTGATTACTTTGTCCGGGCGTAAACATCTAACTATCTCATAAAAGAAAAATTATTCCTTGTGCATATGTTGAAAGTGGTTTAATTGCTTTTTTTTGAACAATGTTTGCACAAATATGATAATTATCAATCGATATTGCATAGAACACCTCCAAAGGAACACAAGGATTCATTAAAAATATAAAAAGAGTGCTTTTTTTTTTCTCTCCAATCCGTCGAAAACTTCTTTTCTTAATACAAAAAAAAATAATAATAATTCGCTTTTCGACTTTTTTACGACTTTTTTTACGACTTTAATATAATAAAAAATGAACTCGAAATTTATCTCTTTTGCTTTAAGCATCTTTATTCTCTCCATCTATACCTTATCGGTTTCGGCAGTTGCTCATCCTAAAATTTATAAAAATTCAAACGAACTCTTTAAACGAACTCATGAAAAAAATGATACTTGTCCTTGTACTGTTGCAACAGCTTCATTCTGCGGCCCTGTAGTTTGGGGAGAAGTCGTCTTCGCCCAAGACGAATGCGGAAAAACCATTGCAACTGGTATCTTCAGTGACGGGCTTGTTGATCCTGAAAAGAATTGTTATGATTACCTTATTGTCGATAAATGCGACAAAGTTCTCTATAATTTGACAAAAGCAATAAGTCCCAAATATCGAAAAAATGGAACATGGCCATTTTCATCAGGAAGACTTTCCGATCTGAATTTAAATTGTAACGAGGATGGAATCCTTCTTGCTTCTTGTGATAATTGTACCGATACTGATAAACATCATAAACGACAAGATACACAAGATGGATCGAAATTAAAAATTCAACAAAATGGTCAGGATTATGATGAAACGAATATTGAACAAGTTTAAAGCAAATTAGCGTTTCTGATAAAAAAATTTTTTACAAACTTAAATTTGTTGAAAAAAAACCAATTTTACGTTATTACAATTATTGCTTTTAGTTATTACAATATTAGTTATTATTCTTTTCCAAATGCAGATGAGCCCCTCAAAATTATTTTCATAATAATAAAGATAATATCAAGAAACATATAGTAATAATTAGTAGCTATGTATTTATATATATATATATATTCGATTTATTATTATTACCAATATGTATAATTAAAAATATAACTTTATTATCATACCATTTGTACAATTCAAAAGTGGTATTGAAAGTTTAATTAATAAAAGAAAAATTTTAATTTCATATACTGTTTCTTGTAATAATTATCATTTTTTTATTCTTGTATGAGAATTCATATAAATAAATTTGTAAATTTATTTATTTTATTGCAAGTATCTTTAAAAGGTAGTTTATATTAATTAACATTGATTTATGATTATTAAATTAATAATGCATTTTATTTTGTACATTTTATACATGAAGATGAAAATGATTTCTACTGAGCATTTAATTAGACACACTGCATTTTAGCATTCGTGACGTGTATGAGAGGACTTACATTGGAAGTTAATTTAGAAAAGTATAAACTCATTCATGACTTTGAAAATTGATACAAGGTTAATATTTATAGATATAATGCTTACGTTTCAAAGAAGAGAAACATCACAAAATACTTCCCTGTTTTGCATAAATGAATCTTGTTTCTTTTAACTCCTTGATGCCCAGCACCTTTGCACAAGACTTTTCACAATTTCCTTTTTTTAGAATACATGTGAGATACAACACAAGAATGCGAAAACAGGACATCTATACTTTCCTTGGTGTTCAGCAAATTTATCACATTCTGGAATTCCATCATTATGAGCTTATTAGTAAGTAGCACGACGAGCGCTTAGATGATTGGGCTAGCACCTTTACCTGATAATCAGAGTTTCGCTACTCTTTAATTGATCACAAATTCATCACTAAAAAAATATATCGTTTGCGAATACTTTTTTAAATATAATTTTTTATACCTTTGGGCTCTTTTCTATTATATATATATACGTAGTATTTATTGTTTTTATATAAATTACCTTCATTCTTATTCATTTAAAGTCATGTACAAAAGTAAAGTACCTAGACAATTAAAGAAAAGATATGCTTTTTTACTTTTATTCTAATTCAATAAGACAAGGTGCTATAGATTTTATGAATTATATTTAACTCCAAGATCTAAAAGCGGCTTTATTTGAAAGGGATGGAAGCAACAACAACAACAATAATATATGTAGTAGTAGTAATAATAATATAGGAAATTTTGGAAATATTGCAACTACCGGGAAACCGAGAAAGAATAATACCACAGTATGGATGCTTTAATATCATCATCAACTGCTGATTATACAATAGCTCGTAATTTATATCTTTTACTTATTTTTATGGTTTTGTTCGAAACTAAATTATAAAAATTATGGAGGAGATCAAAGGATGTTAACTCTTTGTATACAGATACTGTAATTCTTAAATGGGTATCTGAACAATCTGCATATTCTGAATCAACAATTAACCTCAAACAAAAACAATCGAATTGACGTCAACAACAACAAGATATATCAATAACGGCGGAAGATGAAATGAATGAAAAGTTTCCAGATTTAAGTATAGGAGGAGGAGGATGAATTATTAATTCTAAAGATATCCCTGAAATACCAGATTTAAGATATAGTTTACTTCATTCACCTTTATCATTAAATTTTTGAATTTCTTATTTACTCGTGATTATTTTAAATGGAGTTAAAGATTATGAAATTTATTTGAATTTTACCTAACATTTAATGATCACGTCAACTAAATCTCATTCAAAATTTGATAGATTATTCTTTTGTTTCGGGATTTATTGAACACCTTTCAATTCATGGTGAACAATTATTGAAAAAGCATAAATATGATGAAGCAGCTGAAAAATTTATTTGAGCTGGAGTATCTTTTTGAGAGTATTTTTATAATTATTTATTTTATTTTTATTTATTTTTGTTTTTTTTATTATTTACTTATTTATTTTATTTATTTACTTATTTAGTTTTATTTATACTTGTAAATCAATAATCCCATCGCAAGATTATTTACCAGGAAATTTAACTGATTACTGTACATGTAGCAACTCTCTATTTGAATTGTCAACAACATTTTTATGTAATTAAATTTTATATATACTTGCTTTGGAATAATTTAAGGATGAACATGTGATTTTCATTTTAATATATGTATTTTTTTAATATATTGTCACACTTGTGCAGAGTATTTCGAATAATTTCTCAAATCAGTCTCAAAGTTTGCATCACACAAACATAAT